CAGTACAGTAGAGTAGATTACAGTAGAGTAGAGTAGATTACAGTAGAGTAGATTACAGTACAGTAGAGTAGATTACAGTAGAGTAGACAGTAGAGTAGATTACAGTAGAGTAGAGTAGATTACAGTAGAGAGTAGAGTAGATTACAGTAGAGTAGATTACAGTAGAGTAGATTAGAGTAGATTACAGTAGAGTAGATTACAGTAGAGTAGAGTAGATTACAGTAGAGTAGAGTCCCATAGAGTTACAGTAGAGTAGAATAAGTTAGAGTACAGTAGAGTAGATTACGAGTAGATAACATAAGAGTACGATAATAATACCTACGCGTATTACATAAGATAAGTAGAGATTCAGAAGTAGAGTACCAGACTGAGATGAAACCGAAATAGAAGAAAAAGAAGTAACAGTACCATTAAGTAAGAAAAGAATACATACTAGACTAACTAATACAGAAAGAGTATAGTACCTGGATCAATAAAAAAGACCTTCACCACATCAGAAATACTGACACACCCAACAAAAAGAGGACCACACAAACAACCAAACCTCACACATCACCGAAACTAAAAAAGCTACCCCCCGGGTCACAAATACGATTCAACTGAGAAAACTTACAGACCTTAACACTACCCATTCACTACCCCCTCCATCTACCCTTCCTATCTCAGAAATTCCCTCTCAAACACGTTTCCCCAACTCACCCTGATTTCACACAGTGTAAACCGAATCCCACTAAACAAGACCTCAACCATATATTATCCGATATGCATCCGTATCCCCTATCCCCTCTTACCCATCTTTTTCCACTACAACCCTATCTACACTACCCCCACCAATCTTCAATAAACTTACACCCACCTAACAACTCCCTTTCATTGTCCGACCACCTAAACCCCCCAATGTATCCACAATCAGCTGATTCCCACAACCAAACTCCTCAATCTTCACACCCTTACAAATAACATCCCTGCACCGCGTGCGAGGTCACACTGTGCTGACCACCCTCACCACCTCAGCCTGCATGACTGCAAATAGAGTCTCTGTCACTTTCCCAGTATGACGCCTCTGCTATCATGTTTCTGTCCTATCTTTCAATTGGCCTTTCTTCCAGTGGTTCCGAGAGTCCGTCGTTATATCATCCTTCTCCCCTTTCGTACTCATGGACTTTCCCTTCCAGGCCCCCTTGTTTCATTGTTTGTATTACCCCTCCAACCACAGCCACACCAACACCAAACCACTCCACACACACACTATCACTCACTATTACTCTCACTCAACCCAAACCACTGCAGCTTCCTGATATAAATCAGGTTGTACCCGGCCTTTGGGTAAAATTCGACAGTTGACAAATTTTGATCTACCCTATACATCCTTAAACCTGCCACACCCAGCTTACTACCACACAATACAAAACACTACAGTGAATCATATATATCTCCCTCATTTATATCTCTACCCGTCTTGTCTCATATCCCTCTATCTATCTGACCGGATTCTATGAGTACATCTCGTCTTATCTACCCATATTTATATATTCCCCTTCTATACATCTCTCCAATCTTACCCCGGTACTATGCTATTCCACGCTATACCTCGCCCCTCTTTTCTCTCTCTCTGCCCTCTCTCTTCTTCCCCTCTTTATCGTCTTATCCCCTATCCCTCTCCCCTATCCTCTCCCATCTTCCTCTACCTATCTCTCCCTCTCAATCCCTTTTATCCTATCTCTCTATCTCTCCCCTCTTTATCACATCTATTCTCTCTCTCCCCTCTCTATCTATATCCACTCTTTATCCCTCCCTCTATCTCTCTCCGCTTTTCTCCCGCGCTATCTCTATCCCATCTCTTTATCCCCTCTCTTTATCTCCACTTCTTTTTCCCATCTTCTATTTCTATCCATTTTCTCTCCTACCCTATATCTATCTCTCTTCCCTCTTTTATACTCTATCCTCCCCTATCTGCTCTCCCACATTTACTCCCATCTCTCTTCTCGTCATCTCTCTCTTCCCCTCTCTTTTCCCTCTCTCTATACCCCGCTCTCCCTTTCCACCTATATTACCCTCTTTCTCGTGCTACCCTAGCTTGCTTCCCTCTTTTTGTTTTTGGCCTACCGTCTATAACAGCTATTGTTCTCCATCTCTCTCTATCCCCGTATCTCTCTAGTTCCATCTGTTATTCTCTCTACTTATATATATCATCTCTGGAGCTCCTCTATTATCACTCTCTAACCATGATATATCTATATCTGCCCCACTATTGTAGCTTGCTACCTCGATTTAACTATTCTATAACCGTAATGCTCCTCTATCGCTCGTCTCTACCTATTTCTCTCTCCCAGCTAGTTCTCCCTCTAGGTGGGTCTCTCTGGTCTCTCCCTGGTCTCTCCCTGGTCTCTCCCTGGTCTCTCCCTGGTCTCTCTCTGGTCTCTCCCTGGTCTCTCTCTGGTCTCTCTCTGGTCTCTCTCTGGTCTCTCTCTGGTCTCTCTCTGGTCTCTCTCTGGTCTCTCTCTGGTCTCTCTCTGGTCTCTCTCTGGTCTCTCTCTGGTCTCTCTCTGGTCTCTCTCTGGTCTCTCTCTGGTCTCTCTCTGGTCTCTCTCTGGTCTCTCTCTGGTCTCTCCCTGGTCTCTCTCTGGTCTCTCCCTGGTCTCTCTCTGGTCTCTCCCTGGTCTCTTCCTGCCGTCCCTGGTCTCTCTCTTTGCTCCTTTTCTTATATCTACAGTCTATGTGTGACACAGGGCCAAATGCATGTAAACCTATGAGTGTCATGTCATACACACCTGTTGTTGTGTATTAAAGTCAGTGTTTTCAGAGACTGTAAAATCAAAAACACTGAACTGAAACGTTTTGTTTATTAAAACGTGTGTGAAACAACTGTTTGAGTTTCGTTTGATGAAAATAAAGATGTTTCCGCCCGGTCTCGAACCGGGGACCTTTCGCGTGTTAGGCGAACGTGATAACCACTACACTACGGAAACTGTATGTCTATGTAACGGAATCTTTTATAAATAATCTGAGTTTAGAAACTTCACTGAGTCGGACACATCGAGTGCGACTTGACACCACAAAGGCTTTTTGAATTGTCTCTGCTTTAAACACCATTACAGCTGTTTGCCCAGAGTAGTCTCTTCATTGATTCCAACAAGCTTTAGTTACAAAGCTGTCTTTCTCTTCCATCCTCCGGAGGAAGCAAAACAACATGATTCACTTTGATACGTAACATCACATTCTCACGTACGTAGCATGAGCTCCAGAAGCCCCGCCTCCAGGAGGTGATTGACAGGATAGAGAAACCAAATCAGCGAATCAGTGCATAGCCTCTCAGCGCCTGTGTTCCACAGTCTGTGTTCGCTTTTATGCTATGCATCATGTCAACTTGGAGAAATCTCCGCTGCGACTGCCACCCCCAACTCAGAAATGGATTAAGGGGAAGAAAATAAGGGTGTAATATGTGAAGACGGAGAATGTAGCTGGACACAAGATTCTATTCACAAGATCTGCCTTGCCCAGCTTATGGAGCCTCTACTTCTATGCTGGTTTCTGATATTGACTGCGACTAGCATCATGTCAACTTGGAGAAATGTGTTTTTGGTGTAAATATGTGAATTTGACCCGAAGACGAAAGATACTGTAGCTGGACTTTCTATTCACGTGGATCTGCCTTTTAGATCCGCAGGGAAATAATCTAAGCTTTTGCAAAGAGTTGACATCAGCTCTATGCAAGACATGGCTGGATGGACTGTGAAAATGTAAAAATGTATTCGTTCATGGATTTAATAGTTTGAGTTTAAGTATTGAATGCTCAGCGTCTGTTTTCACCAAGTTTCCGTAGTGTAGTGGTTATCACGTTCGCCTCACACGCGAAAGGTCCCCGGTTCGAAACCGGGCGGAAACATGTTTTTTCCCCGATTGGTCTGTTTTGACCTGTGTGTGGAGTGTATTCATCTAAACGAACAAATTCAAACTTTTATATTTGTTAAAACTACTTCCTCCTCAAGCGCGTGAACCATAGACTGTAAATGCGTGAACAGCGCCACGTGGTGGTCAAACACACAAAGCGTCACGAAACACTTCAACACATGTGAGAGCCATGTACCGCTTTTATCCAGACTATTATAGATCCATGGTCTATGGTCCGGACCAGAGTCTGGACTCACTGATCTAAGACCGGTTCATCCACAGTTATTTTATATAATTTACTGAATCATGTTAAATAAACACATTCACAGCCTTTAAATTAGACATTAGCTCTTTCTACTAGTTCTACTTTTCCTATAAATGTTCAACCCAAGCCCCATTTGCATCTGCTCTGTTCTACTCTACACTACACTACCCAGAGTAGAGTAGAGTTTTCTGAAGTCCTTTGAGAAAACTGCGTTAAATGACCCAAACACAAAATACAAATAAATATCAATTTATTACTTATACATTTTGTTTATTAAACTTGTTTCCAAAACACACACGACACGTGAGAAAGAAAAACATACACAGTGCTTTTACTTTAAACGTTTAAATACAGTTTTCATTCTTCTGTTCTGCATCAATTATATTTATATTAAAAACAAGTTCAGTGACTGTGGCCCCTGGTCCTGGGGAATTTTGGCTTCTTCTAGTCTCCGTCTGGCCTCGCCCTAGTCTCTCTCTGGTCTCGCCCTAGTCTCACCCTAGTCCCTGCCCTGGTCTCTCTCTGGTCTCGTCCTAGTCTGTCTCTGGCCTCGCCCTAGTTTCCGTCTCGTCTTGCCCTAGTCTCACCCTAGTCCCTGCCCTGGTCTCCCTCTGGTCTCACCCTAGTCCCTGCTCTGGTCTCCCTCTGGTCTCACCCTAGTCCCTGCCCTGGTCTCCGTCCCTGCCCTGGTCTCCCTCTGGTCTCACCCTTGTCCCTGCCCTGGTCTCCCTCTGATCTCACCCTAGTCCCTACCCTGGTCTCCCTCTGGTCTCACCCTAGTCCCTGCCCTGGTCTACCTCTGGTCTCACCCTAGTCCCTGCCCTGATCTCCCTCTGGTCTCGCCCTAGTCCTGTTTGCGCCCCTGTCTCCTCCTGAACAGTCGGTTTAACGCACTCCTTCTCGTTGTGGCGTTTTCGGTTTCGTCGGTTGAGGTGCCATTGCTTCCGCTGTCCTCTTCCGTGACGCACTTCGTGCTTCCTGCCGTAAGCCCCGCCCCCGTCTCAGCAATGCCCTTCCTGCTTCCTGCCATTAGCCCCGCCCCCATCTCCGGGGCGACTCTGAGCTCGCCCAAACTCGTGCTTTTCTCCAAACCGCCGCCGAAGGGGAGGGGCCTCATGGAGAGGGGGAGGAGCCTGGAGCTATAGGGGATCCGCGATTCGCTGAGAGAGAGTGGGAGGGCGGAGTCAGAGTCCGAGCGGTTTATAACGTCTCTGTAATAAAAGGTTAAGAGCAATTAGAGCTAACCACAGGCTCCCCAAGGATTAGAGCTAGCATCAGAGACAAGAGTGTTTCCTGAGATGAGAGATGAGTAGAAAGAAACAGCACTGCTTTGTTGTTAGCCGCAAGCTTTTATTTAGCATACTGTTGGTGTGTTAGTGTGGTATCAGCATTAGCCTTTAGCCTACGTTTAGCATTTTGTAAATATAAATAATGTTGTTAACTTGGTAATAACATTAGTCTTTAGCCTGTAGTATGTTGTTAGCTCTGTACTAGCATTAGCCTGTAGTATGTTGTTAGCTCTGTACTAGCATTAGCCTGTAGTATGTTGTTAGCTCTGTGCTAGCATTAGCCTTTATCCTGTTTCATGTTTTTTGTGTGGTAATAGCGTTAGATGTGTTTAGCATGTTGTTAGCTTGGTAATAGCATTAACCTGTGTTGAACATGTTGTTAGCTATACACTAGCATTAGCTTTTAGCCTGTAGCATGTTGTGAGAGTGCGCTCATCATAGCCGCGGTGGAGCTACCCGTGACTGCAGGATCGGGGCCTGTGCTCCGCCGTGGTGCCCCCTGGAGGCTGGACACAAGACAAACAGCGCAGCAGCACGGGACAGGAAGTGATGTCAGAGGAGAGCACAGGACAGGAAGTGATGTCAGAGGACAGTAGGAAGCCAGAGGAAATGATGGACGGGTGCGACACAGAAGGAGACAGAGAAGAAGAGGGCAAAGCCGCGAAGTCCAGCTGCCCAATCGAGCGGCTGCGGCTCTCTCGTGGGCGGGGCTTAGAGGGCGGTGATGTCACATGATCGCAGCCCGATGACTCAACCAACCTGAAGGGGTCTCCTGTCCTCGATCGCAGGGGCATCAGGCTCTGAGCTGCAGCAGAGGTCACAGGTCAGAGTGATGTCACAGTGATGTCACAGCGAGGTCAGAGGTCACGTACCGGACTGTTTCCATGCCGACGGCTCCGAAACGTTTCCCAGAGGCCAAAGGTCACTGACTCTACGGTCCATCTGCCACGCAGCGTCTTTAACGAAAAAATACACATTATTCATGGCTTTAAAAATAATAATGAGACCAGAGAGATCAGAGGGAGAGAGACCAGAGAGAGAGAGACCAGTGAGAGAGAGATCAGAGAGAGAGAGAGAGAGAGATCAGAGAGAGAGAGACCAGAGAGAGAGAACAGAGAGAGAGACCAGAGAGAGAGGAGACCCAGAGAGAGAGACCAGTGAGAGAGAGATCCAGAGAGAGAGGACCATGGAGAGAGACCAGTGAGAGAGAGATCAGAGAGAGAGAACAGAGAGAGAGACCAGAGAGAGAGAGAACAGGAGAGAGCCAGAGAGGAGACCAGAAAGGAAGAGAGACCAGAAGAGAGAGACCAGAGAGAGAGAGACCAGAAAGAGAAAAAAGGACCAGTGAGAGAGATCAGAGAGAGAGAACAGAGAGAGAGAGAGACCAGAAAGAGAGAGACCAGAAAGAGAGAGACCAGGGACCAAGAGGGAGAGAGACCAGAGAGAGAGAGGGACCAGAGGAGAAGACCAAGAAAGAGAGAGACAAGAGAGAGAGATCAGTTTGAGAGAGAACAGAGACAGAGAGACCTGAGGGAGAGAGACCAGAGAGAGAGACCAGAGAGAGAGACCAGTGAGAGGGACTCAGAGAGAGAGAACAGAGGAGAGAGAGACCAGAGAGAGATAGTGACCAGAAAAGAGAGGGACCAGAGAGAGAGACGCATGAGAGAAGGACCAAAGAGAGACCAGGGGAGAGACCATAGGGATAAACCAGAGAGTGAGACCAGGAAGAGAGACCAGAGGGAGAGACCAGAGAGAAAGACCAGAGAGGTAAACCAGAGAGAGAGACCAGAGAGAGAGAGAGAGACCAGAAAGAGAGATCAGAGAGAGAGACCAGAGAGAGACCAGAGACAGAGAGAGAGAGACCAGAAAGAGAGACCAGAGAGATAGACCAAGAGGAGACCCAGAGAAAGAGAGAGAGACCAGAAAGAGACCAGAGAGAGAGAGAGAGACAAGATAGAGAGATCAGAGAGAGAGACCAGAGGGAAAGAGACCAGAGAGAGACCAGTGAGCGAAAGACCAGAAAGAGAGAGACCAGAGAGAGAGAGATCAGAGAGAGAGAGAACAGAGAGAGACCAAAGGGAGAGAGACCAGAGAGAGAGACCAGAGAGAGAGAAACCAGAGAGAGAGAGACCGAGAGAGAGAGAGACAAAGAGGACCAGAGAGAGGGAGACCAGACCAGAGAGAGACCAGAGGAGGGACCAGAGAGATGAGACCAGAGAGAGACCAGAGAGAGGACCAGAGAGAGGGCGAGGGCCACCAGAGAGGAGACCAGAGAGAGACCAGAGAGAGACCAGAGAGAGACCAGAGAGAGAGACCCGAGAGAGAGACCAGAGAGAGCGACCAGAGAGAGAGACCAGAGAGCGACCAGAGAGAGACCAGAGAGAGAGACCAGAGAGAGACCAGGAGCAGAGAGAGACCAGAGAGAGAGACCAGAGACCAGAGAGAGACCAGAGAGAGCGACCAGAGAGAGAGACCAGAGAGAGACCAGAGAGAGACCAGAGAGAGAGACCAGGGAGAGGACCAGAGAGAGACCCAGGGATGGAGACCAGAGAGAGAGACCAGAGAGAGAGACCAGAGAGAGACCAGAGAGAGACCAGGGAGAGAGACCAGAGAGAGAGACCAGAGAGAGACCAGAGAGAGAGACCAGAGAGAGACCAGAGAGAGACCAGAGAGAGAGACCAGAGAGAGACCAGAGAGAGCGACCAAGAGAGAGACTTAGAGAGAGACCAGAGAGAGAGACAGAGAGACCAGAGAGAGACCAGAGAGAGAGACCAGAGAGAGAGTACCAGAGAGAGAGAGACCAGAGAGAGACCAGAGAGAGACCAGAGAGAGACCAGAGAGAGACCAGAGAGAGACCATAGAGAGAGACCAGAGAGGACCAGAGACCAAGAGAGACCAGAGAGAGACCCAGAGATGACAGAGAGGCGAGAGTGCTATCCACTCAGCCACCGTGCTGCCCAGGGAGAGACCATAAAGAGAGACCAGTGAGAGACCAGACAGAGACCAGAGAGAGACCAGAGAGAGACCAGAGAGAGACCAGAGAGAGACCAGAGAGAGACCAGAGAGAGACCAGGGAGAGACCAGAGAGAGACCAGAGAGAGACCAGAGAGAGACCAGAGAGAGACCAGAGAAGAATTTTAAGTCATGAATGAAGAGAATGATGCAAAGAACATGCAAACATCTGTACAACTGTAGCTTGAGTTCTTGCTCAGACCAGAACTTAGTTGTAGACCCGTAGACCTGTAGACCCATAGACCTGTAGACCCGTAGACCCGTAGACCCATAGACCCATAGACCTATAGACCCACAGACCCATAGACCTGTAGACCCACAGACCCATAGACCCGTAGACCTGTAGACCTGTAGACCCGTAGACCCGTAGACCCATAGACCCGTAGACCCGTAGACCCGTAGACCCGTAGACCTGTAGACCCGTAGACCTGTAGACCCGTAGACCCGTAGACCTGTAGACCCGTAGACCTGTAGACCTGCTGTCAGCTGTACAAAGAGGTTCTCCCCTGGATTACAGTCTGCAGAGGCTCTTCGCTGCCCCCTGGTGTCTGTGGACTCACTTTGCAGAGAGGATCTTGTGGTCGACATCGTCCAGAGACGAGCTGTGAGCCACGTGGAAAGTCCCGAACAGAGAACTGCGCTTCTTCTTTATCCTTTCAGCCTGAAACAAAGACAAATGTGGTTTATGAGGATTTAGGTCTGAACATAAAGTTATGTTCCTGCAGAGGGAAGATATTTGGTCTCTCTCTCTAGTCTCTCTCTCTCTGGTCTCTCTCTGGTCTCTCTCTGGTCTCTCTCTGGTCTCTCTCTGGTCTCTCTCTGGTCTCTCTCTGGTCTCTCTCTGGTCTCTCTCTGGTCTCTCTCTGGTCTCTCTCTGGTCTCTCTCTGGTCTCTCTCTGGTCTCTCTCTGGTCTCTCTCAGGTCTCTCTCAGGTCTCTCTCTGGTCTCTCTCTGGTCTCTCTCTGGTCTCTCTCTGGTCTCTCTCTGCTTCCTCTCCCTGTTCTCTATTTTAGACATGAACAAAATTTCCAAATCAAAAACACTTGAGACTTGTCTTAAAGATAAAAAACGCAAAAAATAAACATCCCCAATGTTACAGATTCTATGGAGATTTGGCTGCATCCAAATTCAATAACTTCAAAACAATTGTTCCCTGACCGGGAATCGAACCCGGGCCGCGGCGGTGAGAGCGCCGAATCCTAACCACTAGACCACCAGGGAGCGCTGCAGAGCCTCAGCAGCGCTATGGATTTTACCGCAAGATGATAAAACTATTCCGGGTTCAAATCCAATATAACGCACGTCACTGACCTTTGTATCGAGTCAAATACGACCCAGTCTAGTTTTAGAATGTCTTTTATTAGAGTAAAAAGCAAAACATTACAGTCATTACATTAGTTTGGTAAAGTGTAAATCGTTCATGTTTGTCTCAGATATTTACCACTTATTGTTTTGCTGTTTGTGCTGAATACTCTTTAATAATAACTATGTTTCCAACAAGAACTGTGTCTTTATTCACAGCATCACAGTTCAATGAGTTGAA